TTCGCGAACTGAAGCGAGACTGCCTTTCTTCACCGATTGTTCGGCTTTTATACCTTTCTAGAGAGAACGGAAAAATTATTTAAATTATACGCAAATTTTTTGTAAATGGTCAAGAGAAAAGAGGATTTATGTGGAATTTATCGAAATAGGAATAACAGATCGGTAGCAAATTTGAATATAATTACCATGGAAACGATATAAATAAGAAAGACAAAATATGTCAAATTTTTGTTTTTGGTTTATAATAAGAAAACGGTAAGATTTAAGTGGAAAATGAGATATTATTGATATAGGAAAAAAGGTAGCGCAACTGCCCACACAAAGTCCAAGATTGTAGAGTTACGGAAAACTAGCTAAAAGATCGAAAAAAGGTAGACTCCATTGACACCAATTAAAAGTGCTGATAATGTGAAAATACGAAGTAGAAATGATTTGTTATTGTGTTCTTATGGTTTAAAATCGTTACAGGATCCTATGGAAATAAAGGTGATGTAAAATATCCAGTTTTGAGGTGAATGCAGAAAATCGAAACAGAATGGAAAAATGAATTTAAAATAATGTAAAATGATACGTGAGTAGCATAACACTACATTTTCCCCCCGACCCTGGAAAATTTTTGACTCAGCAAAAATTTTGATATATACATTCTAAAATAAACCATAAAAACACAGCTTTGCAGAAACAGACATCACCAGGCAAAATCAGATATACTATCTCTTACATACATCATCTGCCATTCAGGTAAGGGTGGAGTTCACATTCAATGACTACCACTCTAAAAGTGTGTTTTCGAAACGACATTAAGGCTTATTTAAGGAGTAGTCATCCGCTCCTGCGTGGAAAAAAAAAATAAATTAGTCGAAGAAACACCACTCTTAAAAGTGTGTTTTCGAAGGACATTCAGGCTTATTTAAGGAGTTGTCATCCGCTCCTGCGTGAAGATAAAAAAAATTATTAAGGGAGTAATCAGCCGCTCCCAAGTGAAGATAAAGATAAAGAAATACCTCAAGTAAGCTTTAGTCGCTATGACTTAAGTAAAGATTAAGAACGGCCAGAGCGGTAGGGCTCAAAGCCAGAAAACAGCAACATCACCAACGAGATGTGTCTGAAATAAAAATAAAAAGTGACGATTAACCAACGAAAGTTCGAGGTCCTAAAGCAAGATGTGTTGAAGAACACTGGATCATCAAACAAACAAATTAAAAGAAATAATAGCAAGGTGAAAATGATGGTGATATTTATACATATATACAAATTAAATGTGATATTTATACATATATACAAATTAGCAGTTAATAAATGTTTAGATATTTATACATATATACAAATTAACAGTTGTAAATGCTTAGAAAAGTTATGAATCGTCTCGCTTCAGCTTTGAAAAACAATTTTATATAAAGTGTAAAGTTTAAAGTTAAGTTTAAGAAATAAAGATTTAATTGAAAAGTTATACCTCTTTAAGTTACCTAGAATAAAAATATTAGAGTGATGAATGTAAGTGAAGTGTTGAATGTAGGTCTAAATATAGTCTAGATAAGTTGAAAAACTAGATGAAGTTTTGTTCTAGAATAAAAATATTAAAGTGATGAATGTAAGTGAAGTGTTAAATGTAGGTCTAAATATAAGCCAGATACGTTGAAACACTAGATGAAGTGTTGTTTTAGAATTTGGAAGGTATGAAAAGGATGAATAAATGAATGATGAATAATGAGTTAAGAACGAAAGGGAGAGCAATTAAATCAAAAGGGAATGGACAAGGCGCAGTAAAGGTGAAGAATTAAGAGAGAAAGAGGACTTTTACGTTGGGCGCCAAATGTCGTGAAGCGACAATTAAAAAAAATAGAACCTAACCTAAGTACAACAAAACAACAAAAGTAGAGCCAGAAAACAATATATTTAAATTTATAAAAGGTATTTACAATTTTATAAAAAAAATGATGTGAGGATGGTGATGGATGAAGTGAGAATACAATTAGATTATAAAAAAAAAATAAAGGTGAGAGAATAGGGGAATATAGCGTTGAAGTGGGGCCTAAAAGTCGAAGCGACACACGTTGCGTTTGTAGAAGTAGGTTTCTTAGCAGCGACGGCACGCAGCGCCTGAAGCCAGCACACGCCGTTAGCGCTTGTAGAAGTAGGTTTCTTAGCAGCGACGGCGCGCAGCGCCTGGAGCCAGTACACGCAGCGTCCGGAGCCGGCGCACGTAGCGCCTGGAGAAGGGGCGCGCAACGCTTAGAGCCAGCAGTTGCAGCGCCCAAAGGTAGCGCCGGCGGTAGGTGCACTCGGCGCCTGGAGTAAGTAGTAGTAGTACCGGAGTAGTGTGGCCCCCGCGCTTGTAGTAGACTCGAAGCGACTTCCGAGGTAGATGGAGGCTTGTAGGATTCCGGAGTGGCGCGGCCCGAGTTTGAAGAAGGCTTCGCCGAAGACTTCACGTGTAAATGGAGGCTTGCAGGATCCCGGGGCAGTGCGGCCCCGGGATAAGGCCTTTAGGAGATACTTCCAATTCGCGAACTGAAGCGAGACTGCCTTTCTTCACCGATTGTTCGGCTTTTATACCTTTCTAGAGAGAACGGAAAAATTATTTAAATTATACGCAAATTTTTTGTAAATGGTCAAGAGAAAAGAGGATTTATGTGGAATTTATCGAAATAGGAATAACAGATCGTTAGCAAATTTGAATATAATTACCATGGAAACGATATAAATAAGAAAGACAAAATATGTCAAATTTTTGTTTTTGGTTTATAATAAGAAAACGGTAAGATTTAAGTGGAAAATGAGATATTATTGATATAGGAAAAAAGGTAGCGCAACTGCCCACACAAAGTCCAAGATTGTAGAGTTACGGAAAACTAGCTAAAAGATCGAAAAAAGGTAGACTCCATTGACACCAATTTAAAAGTGCTGATAATGTGAAAATACGAAGTAGAAATGATTTGTTATTGTGTTCTTATGGTTTAAAATCGTTACAGGATCCTATGGAAATAAAGGTGATGTAAAATATCCAGTTTTGAGGTGAATGCAGAAAATCGAAACAGAATGGAAAAATGAATTTAAAATAATGTAAAATGATACGTGAGTAGCATAACACTACAAAGTGCGCTGGTGTTTACATCCCGAGTCGCCGAAGCCGCAGCCCAGGCTTGATAACACTCCTGCTTACTGCGTAATGCAGTCTTACAAGAGCGACCAAACCAAGGCTGAGATGTGCCTCCGATGGGTACCACAGATGATGGAATAAATAGTTCCATTCCCTGTAGCACCACATCAGTGACAGAGTCAGCAACAGCGCTGGGATCTTCCGGCGAGGTGCAAACCCGCCGCCATGGGTAGTATGCAAAAAAAGACCGCATTCCGTCCCAATCTGTCGACCTGTAATGCCAAACACGTCGGCAATCTGCAGAACGCAACCGCGAGGGGAGCATGATTAGCACCACACTCCGGATTAGACAATGGTCCGAAGAGCCGAGAGGGGCATCGACGGAAACCTGATATCCGTCCGGATGAGAGGTCAGCAGAAGGTCCAACAGGGAAGGTGTAATGATCCTCAACATCTGGAATCTGCGTAGGTGATGTAACCAGTTGTGTCAGACTATATGCCAAAGCAAAGTCATAAAAAGATCTCCCCGCATGATCGGTTAAACGTGAACCGAGCCATTCGGCGTGGTGGGCGTCAAAATTGCCAAGGATCACTATCTCTGCGGATGGAACCTGTTGTAGCAAGGAATCTGTAGCTATTTGGACATGGTCGATGAATCGGTCTGTTTCGGCATTACCGCTATGGGACCTATAGAGGCACCCGTAGACGCGTGGATGGTCGTCGCTGTCTACGCGTAGCCAAAGAATGGACAGGTCCGAACCTTCAAGACTGCCGAGGCGTCGAGAACAGATATCCTCTCTGACATACACGCAAACTCCAGCCCGAGGCACAAAGGAGTGCTCCAATTTGTACCCCGGGTAGGAGAGATACGAAATATCAGCCGGAGAGGAAACCTGCGTCTCGGTCAGAAAGAGCAAGGCCGGCTTCGCCGTCTCGAGATGGTAGTGGACGGCGTTTAGATTCGAGTGAAGTCCCCTGATGTTGCAAAAATTCACGGATAGCGTGGCAGGGGTCGCCTTGGTCTTGTTGCTCAGTTTGTCCCGAGCAGTTATTGTGTTGAGCGGAATTTTGCCCTCACCCCCCAGAATACTGAATGTGGAATGCAGCGCGCAAAGCGGCGATGGGGACCGCCCCCCGTCACGCACAGCCCGACACGGCGGAAGGTGGAGGACAGAGTGCAGAGTTGGCACGTGGAATGTTAGAGGAGGCATGAGAGATAAGACGAGAATGAGTTGATCGAAATAATGAAAGAAAGAGAATTAGATGTCGTATGTATGTCAGAGACCAAACGGAAGGGCAGTGGTACTGAAGAGCGGGGCGTTTGCTCTATGGTCCGGAGTCCCGGAGAGCGAGAACGCCTGCCAGGGAGTGGGGGTGCTGCTGTCTTCTCGGTTGGTCGATGTTATGACTGAATATAAGTTTGTGAACTCAAGACTTCTCTGGGTTCGCTTTAAATTGGGACTGACGAAGTTATTCCTTTTGGCTGTTTATGCGCCGGTAGCTTCGTCGTCTAGGGCTGAGCTGGAGGAGTTTTGGGAGAATGTAAGAGAAGTTCTAGATTTGGCTAGGGGAAACGAAAGAATTGTTGTATGTGGTGATTTGAATGGATGGGTTGGTACCGCTCGACCAGGGTACGAGTCGGTACTTGGAAAGTTTGGCGATAAAAGGGTTAATGATGCTGGCAAGCTTATACTGGCGGTATGCAAGGAAAAGGGTCTTCTTGTGACAAACACTATGTTTAATCACAAGAAAATCCATATGTATACTAGAGAAAGAAAGAATGAGAGAAGTATGATCGATTTGTTCCTGGTGGATGACCGACTGCGAAAACAGGTTATGGATACGCGAGTGTTCATGGGTGCTGACCTGGGAACGGATCACTATCTAGTGATTACTAGATTTAGGGGTCGCCTGTCGCCTGTATAACCTGCGCCGCGCAGGTTATACACTCACGGCACGCTCGCTCCACCGCCTCCTCCATGCCGTCCCACCATACATAGCTTCGAGCCAGCGCTTTGGATTTCACTATTCCCATATGAGGTTCATGAATCATAGCCAAGATTTTGTCCCTGCAATTTTCCGGTACTACTAACCTATGACCCCACATTATACAGCCCAGCTCCTCGTATAATTCTTTGTGTCTATTCCAATAATGTTGAAGATTAGTAATTTCGCAGTGTGATGGCCAGCCGTCACGAATATAACTTAGTACTTTTGATAATAATGGATCCCGCAACGTCTCCCGTTTAATGTCGTTATAGTCTAATGACAGAGCTTGTTGCACAAAATGCAGGTACATTTGTTCGGGTGGGGTTGTCACGTTTCGTTCAGTTTTAAGCGGTAACCGCGATAAACCGTCCGCCCCATTTTCATCTGTACGGACATACTCGATGTCGAACGAATAAGTAGATAAAATAATTGCCCATCTCTGCATACGACTAGCTACCATGGTCGGTATTCCCGTATTCGGGCCAAAAATGGAAACTAAAGTGTGCGGGACAAGAGAAAAACAAATAGTGATACATAAATAAGACAAAAACATTTATATTAATGGAATAAATATTATAGTTAGTTTGTACTTAGATAGGATAAACATTTATATTAATAGAGATTATAGTTTAGATAGGATATAAGCATTTTATGTTAAGAAAATAATAGTGTAGAGCTTATATTTGTGTAATAAAATTAGTTGGTCACTTTGTATAACAGAACTAGCTTAAGGTAAACAATGTAAACAATGACTCAGTAAGATATAGAACTAGCTTAAGACAAACAATGTAACGGGACTCAGCATCGTCACTTGCTCTGTCACGCCTCGCGCTGATTGGTCGACGCCATTTGTACGATGCGTCGGCCGTATCCATTGACCCAGCCCGAGGCGGTATAAAAGAGGGGCGATTTTCGTCGTTCGACACAGTCGGCGGCCAGCTACCTCAAGGAAAACACCAAATATAGAAGAAAGAAAAATATCGCAGCGGTTTTATTCTCCACCAATCCAGCACACAAATGTGCCTGTAGGGCACATTTAATGGTCCTTCGCCAGCCGAATATTGTGGGGAATAATTACCTGAAGAAAAATAATTAAGAAGACTCCTCGGAAATCGTTTTTCAAGACTCAAGATTATTCGAAGAAAAAGTCAGCTGACAGCATGGCCGTTACGCGCTCTGAGGGAAGGGGCAGCAAGCCGTCGTCGTCCAAGGCTACCACCTCGGCGACCGGTACCACCAGTGCGGAAGCCAGTACGGAATCAACAGCTACAGGGACGACCGCCACGGAGACTTCGGAGTATACAGACACCTCCGCGGCGACTGATCCATCCACCGTGACTTCCGCCACCGCAGCGACCACTTCGTCCGCCGCCACCTCAGCCTCAGCCGCAACCGCCGCCCCCGCCACGCACCCCGCCAGCGCCGTCGCTCCTTCCGTAACACCATCCGCGGCGACGACACTAACTGCGGGTGCGAAGGCCAAACAGCTGATGAAGCCGCCCGCTACTGTCACCAGAGCAACTCACCGAGAAACAGAAACTTCTACAGTGAAGCGAGCCATAAGAAGCACCGCCGGTCCATCAAAGCAAAGCGGGCTACAGGAACCCCGCCCGCCCAGCAAGAAGGGAGGTGGAGGGGGATCTACACGCAGTAGAACGAAGCAGCTCAAGCTTGCAAAGGCGAAAGAAGATTTACTACGCCTTCAAGTGGAATTAGCCGCAGCACGCCTTGCTGCCTTAGAAAGGGAAGACTCAGAAGAGGAGGAGGAAGAAGAAGATGACGCATCCCTCTACTCAAGATCAGAAGTCAATACAAGAGTGGACGACTGGTTGGAGAATCAAGTGAATCGCCCGGTGTTAGCAATCACCAACGAACCTCACCATGCCATAGAAGAACCAACAGCCGCCCACGCAGAAGAACCAAGGCACGAAGAAACACATCAGTCACCGGCGGGAGGTCAAACTGACGTAGCCCTCCTGGCTGAAGCCATCACTCGGGCTGTCAGCGCCGCCCAACGACCTAAGTTCGTCGAGTTACCATTCTTCAGTGGGTCTCATCAGGAATGGCTACCCTTTCGCGCCGCCTAGTACGAGACAGAAGCGACATTCAGCGTAGTTGAAAATACGAATCGACTCAGAAGAAACTTGAAAGGGAAGGTCAAGGAAGCAGTTGAAGGCCTACTTATGACCAACGCACACCCGGCTGAAGTAATGAAGACTTTGGAGTCAAGATTTGGAAGACCAGAGTCAATAGCCATGCTGGAGATGGAGACGCTTAGAGGTCTGCCGCGCCTTACTGAGTCACCAAGAGACATATGCATATTCGCCACCAAGATCTCCAACGTAGTGGCGACACTGAAGACTTTGGGTTGTTTTAACTACATGTACAATCCTGAACTCGCGAAGACAATAGTAGACAAACTGACGCCAACTCTGCGTTATAGGTACTACGACTTCTCAGCCATGCAGCCACGTGAAGACCCTTGCCTCATCAAGATAGAGAAGTTCTTCAAAAGGGAAGCAGAACTGTGTGGACCCTACGCGCTGCCCGAACAGATGACACCGCCTATTACAGCCGCACCACAAAGGAAGACTCAAAGGATCAACAACGTGACTGAGAAGACATACATACCAAGATGCGTCGTATGTGAAGATACGGGGCACACCAACGCCACAGAATGTGAACAATTCAAGAAGTTAGATGCAAATGCAAGATGGGACATGGCCAAGTCCAAGCGCCTCTGCTTCAGGTGTCTTCGCTATAGGAACAAGACACACCACTGCCGACCCAAGCCATGTAATGTCAACAGCTGCAAGTACTCTCACCACAAGATGCTGCATTACGAAAAGAAGTCAGAAGATTCAGAAGCAAAAGAAAATCAAGGGGCAACAGAGGTCATCAACTCAACCTGGACCGTCAAGAAGCAATCATATTTAAAAATCCTACCGATCCAGGTCAAAGGACCAAAAGGAGCTGTCAACACCTTCGCGTTGATGGACAACGGCTCAACAGTCACGCTCGTCGACGATAGTATAGTAACAAGCGTCGGAGCAACGGGCCCCATAGACCCACTGAAGATAGAAACCATCAACGACAAGAAAGTATCGGAGTCAGCATCGAGGAGAGTCACCATCAAACTAAAGGGGCTCAACGATCATGAAGAACAAATACAAGCACGCACAGTGAAGAACCTGCAAGTCTCATCTCAACGGGTCCCACAGGATCTAGTGGAGGAGTGTCAACACCTCTCTGATATCCAAGGACATCTCACATATGCAAACGCCAAGCCACGAGTGCTGATCGGACAAGATAACTGGCATCTTCTGCTGACATCGGAAGTAAGAAAAGGAGACAAGAACCACCCAGTGGCATCTCTCACGCCACTAGGTTGGGTACTCCACGGCAGCCAGACACGAAGCTTCGGACGGAACATCGATTTCGTGTCACACATCGTAGAAGATCCAGAGGAGAATCTAGAAGACCTCGTGAAGCGATACTTCGAGATGGACGCACTTTGTATAAAGCCCAAGAGACCGAAGACTGATCCAGAAGAACAAGGACTTCGTATCTTGGAAAGGACCACAACGAAGACAGAAGAAGGAAGATTCCAGACCGGTCTTCTCTGGCGCAAAGACGATGTCAAGTTACCAGACAATTACGAAAACTCGCTGAAGAGGCTCTTCAACATAGAAAAGAAGATCGATCGTGACCCCACGTTAAAGAAGAAATACGTGGAACAAATGAACGCTCTCGTCGCAAAGGGGTACGCCGAACCCGCCCCAAAACAGAAGACAGCTGACAAAACTTGGTACCTACCTCACTTTGCAGTAGTCAACCCAATGAAACCGGAGAAATTACGGGTGGTACACGATGCCGCAGCCAATACCAAAGGGGTGGCACTTAATGACATGCTACTCAAAGGGCCCGACCTACTACAATCGCTACCAGGTATCGTCATGCGCTTCCGACAACACATGATCGCGGTTACGGCGGACATCAAAGAGATGTTCATGCAAGTCAAGTTGCGAGAACAAGACAGGGACGCACTGCGGTACCTATGGCGTGGGATTCGACGAGACAACCAACCTCCGGAAGAGTACAGAATGACATCATTAATTTTCGGAGCATCGAGTTCGCCTTCGACAGCAATATACGTCAAGAACCTAAACGCCAAACAGCACGGGGAAACTCACCCAGAAGCCGCAGCGGCCATCATAATGAAGCATTACGTCGACGACTACTTGGACAGCTTCAGAACCCTCGAAGATGCCAAACGCATCACGAAGAGTGTACGAGCCGTGCACATGAAAGCCAGCTTCGAGTTGAAACAGTGGAAATCAAACTCAGCATCACTCCTAGAAACACTTGGAGAAGACAGCCAGACAGAAGACATGGAACTCTACAAAACAGAAGAAAAGATGGAACGAGTTCTGGGTGTTGTTTGGAAGATCCACTCGGACGAACTCACCTTCAACCTCAACTTAGCCAGAATACCCTCAACACTCCTAGAAGGGAAGCAGCCGACGAAAAGGGAAGCACTGAGAATAGTGATGTCGCTCTTCGACCCGCTCGGATTCGCCTCGCCTATCACCATCAGGGCAAAACAACTCCTCCAGGAAGTCTGGCGTAGAGGAACAGCATGGGACGACAAGATCGACGAAGACCTGGCAGAGCAGTGGAAAATGTGGATGGAGCATCTGGAAGGCCTCCACGAAATAGCAATCCCGCGACAATATCTTCACTACAGTGACGCGGCCTCCCTAGAACTCCACGTCTTCAGCGATGCCAGCGAGTTAGCTTATTCTGCGGTCCTCTTTTGGAGAGCTGTAACAGCAGTAGGCGAGGTCCACCTATCCCTTATTGTGGCGAAAGCAAAGGTGGCACCGTTAAAACTGACGTCCATCCCAAGATTGGAGCTACAGGCAGCAGTCATGGGCACCAGGCTCGCAGAAACAGTAGTCGAAGAACACGAGAGGAAACCTGACCGCAAAGTATTCTGGACAGACAGCAAGACAGTACTAACCTGGATAAGGACAGGGTCACGTTCATATAAGCCCTACGTGGCTCACCGTCTAGCAGCAATAGAAGAGAGTTCCAAAGTTAACGACTGGCGCTGGGTTCCGACAAAGCTGAACGTGGCGGACGACGCCACACGAGACGTACCAGCAGTATTTAATAAAGAACATCGATGGTTCAAAGGGCCTGACTTCTTATACCTAACACAAGACTTCTGGCCGACAGAAACCACAAGAGCAACAGCGGAAGAACCTTCCGACGAAGAAAGGACACATTACGTGAGCAACAAAAGAAGATTGAGGCTTGCCGAAGGTCTACCTGATCCAGCGAAGTTCTCCAACTGGGACCGACTCCGATACTCAACCGCACGTGTTCTACAGTTCATTCAACTCTGCAGAAACACCAAACAGAGAGTCAACTACAAACGAACAAAGAAGAATAAAG